TAAAACCACTAAACACTTATACTATGAAGTATGAAGTGAGCAGGGATCGTCCCAAGAGATCTAAACAATTATAGGTTTTCCAGAATTGAATTCTACTTTAGTGCTTATGTGATTGCTAAAAAGGTTTGGTTTTATGATTAGACTAATTTTAAACTTAATAATGTAAATAAAGAGTAGAGTATAAAAGATTGGAAAGAGACTTAAGGTGTAGGATTCATCACTAAGCACATTCCCTAACTCATTAACTTTTAACTAATTGGGGAATAAAAATGTGTAATCTAGAATGTGGCTAAAAATTGCAATAAAAAGTATAAACCATTAATTTCAAGCATGAATCAACTACCTAATGACAATTAAACTAAGTGTAGTGTAATTCACCAATTCAAAGCATGATTCATCAATTTAAGTTACAATTTCAACACACATTAATCTAGAGGGTAATGCAATTGTGACAATAAGTATGGATTTCAAGCACTAGTATGGATTGTCTACTTACCTAGGAATTAAATTGCAATTAAATTAATTAACTTTAAATTAAACTAACTAAGCCTGAAATTAAACTATTTAGACAAGACATTAACCTAATTTTGTAGTACAACCCATCTAATAAAAGTAATTTCCATCAAATCAAAACACAATTACATCTAATTAATACAATGTATAGCCATCACAAGATTCAAGTCACAAAGAAATCAAGTGTAGAAATTGATTATCATTCAAAAACATAAAAGACAATATGAAATTGACATAGACAATCAAATGAAAGAATTAATGTCTATATATCAAGGCTATAACATAAATTACACAAATTAATCCCCAAAAGTCAAGAGTTAAGAATTAGGTTACATGCTTAGGGTTTATCGAACCCTAAGTTGAAGAATCAGCCACTCATGGTTGATGGATGCAAGATGTCAACAAGCCCCATCCTTTGATTCATCTGGCTCCTCTTCTTCTTCTCTGAGCTTTTCTCAAGAACCCTAGCTTTTTCCTCTTCGTGTTTTCCAGAAAGAATAAAATATCGATACAGAATATATAAACTTAATAATCAAAATAATATTCACCTAAATAAAATAAATACTAACCTTAATCTAATGGCTCACTGGCCTTAAGTAACAACCCTATTGAAGCCCAATAGTTCACAAAATAAGCCCAAACAATAAAAAAAATCTGTAATGTTGCCAAGTCCTGAGGGATCGATCCCCACCCTGGGGGATCGATCCCCCAGAGTTGGAAATTTCCTTTAAGCCTTATTTAGCTCCATTTTGGCTCTGGGCTAATTTGTTTGCTTCTTCATCTTTGGGAACATCATCAAAGGCCTGAGATAGACTGCTTCCGAAGAATAAACACACTATACGAGCAATGGGCTACGACCTCTTTTTGTCATTTTCTGAACTTTTTCTAAATATCTTTGCTAGACTCCAAAAAGGCTTTAATGGACCGTTCTTAGCTCACTTTAACTTTATTGCCCTGAAATACATATAAACATAAATTTGGACTAAAAAATGAAATTAAGATAGATGCAAAGATTGAAATACCTTAGCTTAGGTGCTGAAATGTGCAACATTTAAGCACTTATCAGGTCTTAAGCCTCATGGAGATGACGTAAGTGCCACTCTCTTTGTTGAGCAATTCCTCTTTCCAACCAAGACCACTGGAAGTAAGAAGTTCATCTCCTCCCATCTTCCTTTTATTAAACACTGTAAGTAAACTGGCCAGTTCTAGAAGATGAGCACATTGTTTTCCTGATTTGTTGGCTCTCTGGCCACTTGTTATGCGTTCCATCTGGCCAAATCACCAAAGACTTTGTTCAATGGCAGTTTCCCTAGCCAGATATGGAGACTTAACATTAGCTCCCCTTGTACTTTCTCATTTATACAGAGGTCTTCACGATCTCCTTACTTCCAGGTTTTCAAGGTTCCAAGGCCCCTTCTGGTTGTTCCAAATGTGGCTTAAAGTGTACTTCCAAAATAGAACTTCACCCCTAGTCACTTCAACTGGAAAATCCCTTCTGTGCCATTCTTTGGCAACCGCAAATCCCTCTCCTTTCAGCTTTGCTGAAAACTTTGAATATTTCTACAATCAATGTGAGACTGGAAACGATGAATTCTTTGATCCATTTACTGCCATTGGTCACATGCCAACATGGTTAGTTCCATCTCTCGGAGTATCCACCAAGAAACATTCTGAAGATTGGAAAAATATTTGGGCTAGCTTTCTTATTGCTCGTGACCTCTATTACAACACTGCTCAACTAACTTTGAAGAATAGTTTCTGTGGAGTTGAGTTCTATAACCCAACCCAACTAGCAAGACAAATGGGCTTTACCCAAATGATTCCTTTGCCACCCTGCAAATTTTACAACAAGTTCTTTGACCAACGTGTTCGTCTTACAAATATTGAACAATTTGCAGCAATTGACCAAGCCTACACAGCAGAAAGGGCAGCTTTTAATTTCGAAGGCCATACTAACAAGCCTCAATCAACCAATGAATTTGATGTATGGTGGTCAGCTTATATCTCTTCCACCCGAGCCAAGAATCATAAAGCTGTCTGTGATTCCATACTGGCATCTTTCAAGCCTCTGTCTCCAGGTATTAATGTATTTATTGTAAATTCCATTCCCTTTTGAAATCCATCAACCTTCCATATGCTGAGACTTGGTTAATTTTAGACAAAGAATACTCGAAGAAAGTGAAGAAGAAGAAGGTGGAGAGAAAACCACCACAATGGCTAGTAAAATTGAAGGTGTAGCCGAAAGTGGTGATGTAGATATTGAAAGTCTTTCCTCAAGTGATGATGAAGAAGAGGAAGAAGAAGTGGAAGAGGAAGATGATGATGCTTTATACGAGGCAAAGGGAAAAGGAAAAACTTCTCAGGTATTTCAATGTGGCCGAACTTAACCGTTCCATATTCTGGACCTTACTTATACTTCCTCTTGCAGGGACTGGCCATTGTCAAAAAAGAATTCCAGGCCCAACTATCCTCTTCTGATGAAGATTCTTCTGATGGTGAAGTTGGCATTTCCAAAGGGCGAACCACTACTCAACATTCCAGTAAAGCCCTGAAAACACGTAGCCTTTTCGGAAAAGTTATTGGAAAGGTTAAAAGAAAAATCATGCCTGAACTGGAAAAAACAAAAGAGTTCAAACAAACCGGAGACTCACCAAAACACAAGAAACCAAAGTCATCCAAAGAGCTTGTTTTGGTAAGTCCCAATCCCTATCATTGTCTATCTCATTACTTTATATTTTAAAATGTTTGTAACTTCAACTTGACCAATAGGGCTCTACTATGGGACATAATTTCATGAATATGCACTTGGATCAACAAGTTACACAAGGAGAGGCTTTGGCCCTTCAAGCTTCAATTATGGAAAGTTTGACTATAAAGAATGAGAAAAGTCAACCCATTCCAACTTCCACTATTGGAGTATCCATTCCTTCCGGAACTAATGGAACTTCTACTGGTCATACTTCTTCCATCCCAGAGGCAAGTTTTCATTCCTCTACACTTCGCCTCCTTTCTTTCTTTCTATCTAATAGAAACTTGTTTCCATTTTAGGCAACTCCTTCCTTATCTACCTCAACCTCCTTTATGATGCAGAGGAGAGCCTTTCCAGCCTTAGCTGATCTTTACAAAGTGATCAAGGCCACTAAATCTTCCAGTACTTCTACTTTAAGTGCAAGTGTCCTCACACTTCCAGGATCGTCAAATGATGCTATCATGGTGGCTAAAGAAAAGTTGTTGTCTTATCTTGCCCACGATGTGGAAGATGTAGTCTCTTTCTACTCAAGTCTAACCAGTACTATTGTGACCCTCAAAAAACATCTGGAATTTCCTGATTCCATCCAGGCTTCTTTGACTAAGCTGCAAAACCAACTCCAATTCATTGTTGCCTATGTGAGCTCCAGTACTTCTATAGTTTCCGAGCATGAAAAAGAAGCCAAGCTCAGAGATAAAGCTCTTGAGGATTTTCAACTCTCCTTAGAATCCTACCCAGAAATCAAAGATCGAGCTGAAAAGCTTATGATCAAGAAAAAAAAACTGAATGAAGAACTGGCCAAAGAATGGGAAAAGCGAGTTGAAGCCTTTCCTAAACTTGAGGATGCAAAGTTTAAAGCAATGGCTGCTATTGAAGAAACAAGGAAAATTTGGAATGAACTTGGAGGTGTTCTTGCCTCTATCTGATCTCATGTGTTTCTTTTTATGGTTCTATTGTGTGGTTGTTTTTGGAAAACTTGTGGATAGGAAACAAGTAATGGGTACTTTTGCATGGCCAATCCTAGGTTTAGGAGGCCATTTTTGAGTTTTGTAATGAAATCCAGTATCTAATGAGATAACGCTCTATTTCCCAACCCTTTGCATGTGCTTCTTTCATAATTTATATGGAAAAGAAATTTCTAAGTCACTGAAACTAGAAAACTTCTTCACATATATTTATAATAAGGCATAGCCATATAATTGGCTGTCCATAACAAAGGAAATTCAAAGAAATAAAAAAAAAATTGCCATAATGGAAATGCATGTATATACAAGCAAGATGAACAATTTCCAGTATGATTAAAACCTGGAACACGTAGCGTAGCCAGTTCCTCAATGAAGTCTTCCATACTTAGGAAATCAACTGATCTTGGAAATTCAGCTAAGTCAGCTTCATAACTCTAGCCAATGTACTTTTCCAAGTACTTAACTTTTCCTTCTTGGAATGGCCGAATGGCCATTATGCTTCCTTTCCAACTTTCCGGTTTACTTGGAAAGGAAGATACTAGCCATTCTACATGGCTGGTTGAATGATTGTGGATTTCAAATTTTTATAGATGGAAGGGTGGTACTCTTTCAAGTACACACCATTCACAGGATGCCTATGAGACCCTCCATTTATATTCATCAATCTATAATCCCCTTTTTCCAAGGACTCGTTCTACCAAATAAGGACCTTCCCAATTAGGAGTCCATTTTCCATACTCCAAACTTTTAACTCTAGGTGGAAATTTGACCTGCTATACCAAGTCTCCTTCTATAAATGTCTTCGCCTTAACCTTCTTGTTGTATGCCCGCATGACTTTCTTCTTTTGAGCAATAATATGATCTGAAGCATTGAGACAAACTTCATCAAGGTCTTCTAATTCCCCTAACATGGCATGGTTGTAATCTGCTGGAGTTAGCCTGTTTTGGAAAGCCACCCTTGTAGACCTGATTGTCATCTCCATTGGAAGGACATCATCATGTCCTATGTAAGCACATATGGTGTGATGCCTGTACTTGACCTTTTTGAATTTCTGTAGGCCCAAAGAGCTTCAGAAAGCAAGTGATGCCACTCCCTTGGGTGATCCTCAATCATCTTTTCAAGGATGTTGAGGATTACTTTGTTGGAAGCTTCTGCCTGTCCATTTGCTTGGGCAAAATATGGAGTGGAACTAATCACTTGTACACCACACTCAGCACAATAATCCAAGACCTTGCTTCCAACAAAGGATAGACCTCTATCAGTGGTGATAGTCTCTGGAATTCCAAACCTATGTATAATGTGCTTCTTAATAAAATCAATCACCATTGACTGCTCACAAGTCTTTAGTGGAATGGCTTCCACCCACTTTGTGAAATAATCGGTTGCCACCACTATGTGAGTATGGCCATCTGAAGATGGAGGCCTTAGCTTTCCAATAAAGTCCAAAGCCCACCCTCTAAATGACCATATTTTCACTATCGGCTGCATATTAATAGCTGGAACTCTCTAGGTCGGGCCATGTTCTTGACATGCAATACAAGTCTTAGCAAACTCTATGCAGTCTTTCAATATGCCTTTCCAATAATAACCATACCTTATAAGGAGCCACCTCATCTTGATTCCAGCTTGATGTGCTCCGCATATTCCAAGGTGTGTTTCCGCCATTACCCTCATAGATTCATCCTTTCCAAGGCATCTTAACAAAAGTCCATCTTCTTTACTCTTCTTGTAGAGGTCCTCATCAATCATAATGTAATGTGGCGCCAAAAGCTGAATTCTCTTGTCCACCTTGGAGTTAGGCTCTTGCAAGAATTGGATAATTGGTGTTCTCCAATCATCCAAATCTAATCCATCTATATCAATATTGAAAACCTCCCTTGGCTTATTGGCAGGTTTGAATTTTTCTAGCTCTTCAGATTGGAAATGACTTGCCATCTCATACCGTAACTCTACCGAAGGAAGAGTTATTCTTTTAACTGTGATCACAGCTTCTTCCACACCCGGTGGGACTTTCACTCGAGAGGCTAATTGTGTTAGATCATCAGCCTCCGTATTTAAATATCTAGGCCAATATTTGAGTTGGAAATCATCAAACTGGCAAAGTAACTCTAAGGCCAAAGAACGGAAAGGCCTCAAACACCAGTTAAGACATCTATATTCTTCAGATAATTGGCTAAGTATCAAGTTGGAATCTCCAATAATCTGGACCTTCTCCACCTTTAGCTTTAGCAGAATCTCCAGCCCAATAAATAATGCCTCGTACTCAGCTTGGTTGTTTGTACACTTGAAATCCAAGAAGAAAGAAAATTTGGTTTTCCTTCCTTTCGGAGAAATGATGACTATTCCAACTCCACCTCCATCATGAGTGCTTGATCCATCAAACATAAGAGTCCAAGGTGTATAGTCAAGGTAGAGATTATCCACCTCATCACATATTTCTGAATCTATCTTAGTAGATGGATGATCTGCTAGAAACTCTGCTACCGCCCTTCCTTTGACTACCTTTTGTGGAATATACTTGAAGAAAAACTCCATTAAGGCCAATGACCACTTTCCAATACATCCAGTGATTAAAGGCCTGGAAAGCATATACTTAATCAAATCTGTTTGAGATATTACATACACGACTACTGGCAACATATAGGTTCTCAACTTCATAACCGTATAGTATAAGGAAAGACATAACTTTTCAATGGAAGTATACCTATATTCCACTGGAGTGAGCACCCTACTTAGATAATAGATGGCTTGCTCTTTCCCCCATTCACTATTCTAAGCTAATAGAGTTCCAATGGACTCATCGGCGGCCGATAAGTATAATCTTAAAGGCCGCTTCTTGATTGGAGGCATCAGCACTGAAGGGTTGGCCATGTAGTTTTTCAAACCTTCAAAGGCTTGCTGGTGCTATTCTATCCACTTGAATTCCTCAGCACCTTTCAATTTCAGCAAAGGGGAGAAAGCATGAGTCTTTCCAGCATGGTTGGCAATGAACCTCCTTAAATATCCAACCTGATCGAGGAATTGCTGCAACTCTTTCTTAGTGGCTGGTAGCTTTGCTTCAATAATTGCCTTTGCTTTATTTTGATCTATCTCAATACCCCTTTGGTGGACCAGGAAACCTAGGAAATTTCCAGCTGAAACCCCCAAAGCACACTTCAAAGGATTTATCTTCAACTTGTGCTGCCTCATCCTTTCAAAAGCCATTTTCAAATTATGGAGATGTTGATCTTTAGCCGAGGACTTGATAACCATATCATCAATGTAGACTTCTAAGAAATGGCCAATCATGTCATGGAATATAACATTCATGGCTCTTTGATATGTTGCTCCGGCATTCTTCAGCCCAAATGGCATGACAACCCATTCAAAGGTTCCAATAGAACCTGGACATCTGAAGGCTGTCTTGGCAATATCTTCCTCTGTAATGTAAATCTGGTTGTACCCGGAATGTCCATCCATGAATGAAAGAATTTCATTCTTGGCAGCAGAGTCTACCAACTAGTCAGCAACAGGCATGGGATACTCATCTTTTGGAGTTGCAAGATTGATATTCCGGAAATCCACACATACCCTTAGCTTGCCATTTTTCTTAATAAATGGAACTATATTGGAAATCCAGTCAACATACCTGGAGGTTCTTATAAAACCAGCCTTATGTAGCCTTTCTATCTTTTCTTTGACCTTTAGAACAACTTCCTGGGACATCCTTCTTGGAGGCTGCTTGAAAGGCTTGAAACCTTCCTTAATTGGCAACTTATGCTCTACCAGCTCTCTGGAAAGTCCTGGCATTTCCTCATATATCCATGCAAAGCAGTCTTTGTATTCTTCAAGTAAAGAAATCAATTCATCTCTAAAGATTGGTTCCAAAAGCTTACTGATGTAGGTAGGCCGAGGGTCTTGCTCCGTTCCAAGATTGATTTCCAACAAAGGATCTTGCACGTTGACCTTAAGATCCTCCAACTTCACTGGTGCTGCCTTTAAATCTTTCAGCTGGATAGCATCCAACTTATCTTCAGTATCTTCCATAATCTCTAAAACATTGGTTGAAAATGAAGTACCAGCAACAGCAGCCCTTTCCAACCGTAGTTCGGCTAGATATGCTTTCAACCTGGCAAGGTAGTAGTTAACCGCCTGGCCAAGTATTCTATTTTCTTTAGGTTTCTCTTCCATAAAAACTTTTGTTTAAAATGTATTGCTGAACACCGGCCTTGGGTAAAATTGTTGGCCTTGGTGTTTCTTGGAAAAGCTCCCTTACATCTTCTGTAAGAGTCCTTCTCATGGTAGCCTTCCTTGGACCCCTTGCTATCATTTCCAATAAATCTGATTGGAATAAATTCTTCACTATACAACTCAACATCTATATGATAAACCCTTGCCACAAATGGTTGGCTATCAGCTTCCACCACTTTTACCTCATCACCATCCCAAAATATTAGCATTTGATAGAGCGAAAATGGAATGCAAAAATTTGGATGAATCCATTCGTGGCCTAAGAGCAAATTATAAGCTGCTATAGACTCAATAACAAAGAAGGCTGTGATGAAAGTTTTATCTCCCACTGTTAACTCCAACGGTAGGATTCCTTGCGTCTTCATTATTCCTCCCGTGAATCCACTAATGGATACATCAGTTGGAATGATATCTTCAGGAGACTTTCCGAGCATGCCTATAACATTGACTGGAACAACATTAAACACCAAACCATTGTCCACCAGAACTCTTGCCAAGGGCCTTCCTTCCACTAGCACCTTGATGTACAAAGGTTTGAGCTGCTGAGTCATGCCATATGGTGGCTTTTCCAACACAATTTTCTTTGGCCTTGTGGGGCTGTTCTCTTCAATCACAACCCCCTTTAATTTTTGGAGATGCTTAGCTTCATCTTCAAAGACCTCCTCTATATGAATACCATTATTTGGTTCTATAATGGTTGGCCCAGAACTAGACTGTCCAAGACTTTCCATGGGAGGACTTGTATCTACTACATCTCCTTCCATTGAATTGGGTTGATTTGGCTAAGGCTCAAAAAACAAAGGAAGAACCACTACCATATTGCAAGTAAATCCACCTGGAAGGCTCCCAAAACAAATTTTCTTGCTGTTAATGGAACTGCTAGGAATTTCTAAATCTGTTTTATCTTTCATAGGAGGATTGTCTGTAGTCAAGGAATTTCCAACCTCTAAATCAAGATCTAGCAAATCATCAGGATCTCTCTCCTTTCCTCTAGCTGGAAGCTCTGATAAGTTTGACGGCTTAGTAGTCTTCTTTGGCCAGTTGGACCAGCCATGGTCTTTCTCCCATAACCTTCTTCTATCAGCCCTCTTCCTTTGCTGCTTCACTTTTGTGTGCGAGTCATATAAAAGTCATCATGAATGGGAAACTTGGGATGATCAAGCCTTCTCTATCCCTCATCTTGATAGGTAGGAGGTCTAACCATTCTTGGTCGAAGATGCTCACTCCCCCTTCTAACCTATACTTCCGAGGCCATTTTTGGCCTGGAATGCCTGTCACCTTCAGAACCTCTGTCTTGCCATCTACTACTTTCAAACTTTCTGCGAGTACGAGAACCTGGCTGATAGGAAATTCTATTCTTTTCCACACTCTTTGGAAGGATTTCAGATTTCCTCTCTGCTGCCTTCCTTTCTGGATGAACCTAGCTTTCCTTCTCTAGAATGGTTACAATAATTATGTTTTCCACTTTTTGGAAAGTTAGTCGGTCATGGACTTTCCTTTTCTGACCCTGGTCACTATTGGAGGGCTTTTCATTCTGTTTCTCTTTTGGAAAGTCTTTACGGCAACTTTCATTCTGAACTTTACACTTGGGGCAACAACCTTGTTGGATTAAAGTAATCTGGGCCTCTCGGAGTTGCCTTTCCAACTCAGCTACTGTCTTCTCCATAGATGTTGCCGCCTTTCGAATTTCCAACCTTCCACTGGTCACTGGATTTACCAAGTCCACCTCCTTTTGGAATGCTCCAGAATCGTGGAAGCAACGCTTGTTGTAACAACCTTGGGGAAAGGATTTCCATCAACACCTATGACTTCTGATTTTTTTGGAAACTTCAAACGGCCATCTTCGATTGCCTTTTGCACAATGTTGCGGAAAATAACACAATTATTAGTAGAATGCTTCCACGAATTGTGGAACTTGCAATACTCCTTCTCGGCTATTTCTGAAGCCGACGACATCTTATAGCCCGCTGTGAAAATCAGTTGCTTGTCAGCCATGAGCAAATCAAAGATTTTCTCGGCTTTAGAAATATCGAAAGAGTAACTTCTGGAAGAGTCTGCCCCCTTCCACTTTGAACCAGAGGCGGCCTGCAAGTTGGCCGTGGCTGATTTTGGTTTTGTCAAGGCTTCACAAGTATATGCCTTCTTTATGTTGAGCTCGGCTACATTTACTTCAAACCCCCCTTCAGTTTCAATGGTATACACCTCATAATTAGGATCACGATAGTAGGTGCCCTTGGAAGAGTTCTTCATATCTTGCTCCTCACGAAGGAGCTCTTCATACTTAGCCACTTTGCCAGCCAAGTCGAATAAGTCATGGAACTGTACACCTTCAAACTTCTTGCGAAGTTCAAATTCTAGGCCATTCACAGCCATCTTCATATATTCTTCTAGCGGCAAAGACAAATTACATTTGAACTTGGCCCGCCTAAATCTGGAAAGGAAGCTCATCACAGACTCTCCAGGTAGTTGATGAAGTCTGGAAAGGTCTGCCATGGACACTTCAAGCTCAGCTCTATAGAACTGAGTATGGAATAAATCCTCAAATTGCTGCCAACTTTGAATGGAGTTGGCTGGCAAGTTGGAATACCACCTGAAAGCATATCACGTCAGTGTGTTTAGAAACAAGCATACTTTCAGCCATGGATTGGCTGCTGCTTCTCCATATTGGACAGTGAACCGACTAATATGTTCCAAGGTAGACTGTTCGCCCTTTCCATTGAATGTTGCAAACTTTAGAATTCTGAAATTCCTTAGAAATTCAACTTTATCAATGAACTCTGGATAAGACTTTCTGTAAGTTGGCCTTCCACCCCTTCGAGTTAGGCCAAATTCCTATTGAAGGAATTCTGCAAATTGGCCTATATCAAGTGCCATAGGTTGTGGAGGGTTGTTATTTGGCCAACCTTGAGGTTGATTGGCCACTTGATGCCCCCCGCCCGCCATAAGCAAGGGGTTGGCATTTGCATAGTTGTTCCTACCAGGGTTCCTTCCTCCTTGGTCAAGAAGTGGCTCCCTTGGAAAAGGTTACCCCCTAACCGCCATAGGAATAACCATGGGTGGCCTTGCTGGAACAGGTGCAGCTGGCTGAATGTTCACAGGTGGAACATTCTGTTGTGCTTGTGGGTTGTGGTATGGCCATGGTTGGCCAGGCTGATCATGCCAAGTCTGCTGTGGAAATGCCACAGGTGGAGGATTCTGAACTTGCTGAATGGTTGGCATGGGCGCAACTTGTGGAACAGTCATCTGTGCCACTGGAGCAGTCACAGGTGCAGTTGGAATGTGAGTCTGTGCCATTGGAAGGGACTGCACCTGCTACTGAGTTGGAGGGAATGGCCCTGCATGTTGCTGAGAGGAATTCCCTTCAATAAACGTGGCCGGCCTACTAGCTTGGAAGGCTGACTGTTGAAACCCTTCAGAGTTGCTTGGACGAGGGGCCAAAATTTGAGACAAACCTCCAAAGGACCTTTCCAACATAGACTCAAACCTTTGAGAGATTCGGTCCACTATCTCTTCTAATTTTCGCTCATTAGCAAGAACGGCTTTTACATAGTCTTGACTAGCCTTAGATTGGTCTTGTACAACTCTGGCTAAGTCTTGGGTGACTCTAGCTTGGTCTTGCACAAACCTATCTTGTTGCATTGCCATCATGCGGATGTTGTCCATGATGGGTCCATTTGCCATTGTTTGAGCAAAATTTTCCACCATATCATTTTCATCAGGTGCGAATCGTGAACTTTCCACTGGAAGTTCACTGACTTGCATCTCTTCTAGTTCGGCAGGGTCTTGGACAGACTTGCCTTGCCTTCTTCCACCGGCTATTGAACAATCTGTCTAAAAGTCCCACCGGGCGTGCCAAGAATGTTCGGCTCGCGGAGAAGCTCTAGTTCCGCTTTCCAGGTGAGTGGAAAGTAGGAGTGGATGTCGGGCGTGCCAGGAACTGCTGTCGTTCCAAAGTGGATATCCGAACAACTATCCAGTAGGAAACTGCAGGGATCAGGCGATTGAATGAAGGACTGGAATTACCACCTTCAAGGGTTCTTTTTGCCTCAAAAAAAGACTTTCGGACTGAACTATGGCTAGTGGAAAAGAAAGCGGTATTGAAAGTGCAGGACTTCAAAGTAAAGGAATTGAAGTACAGCGCTTGGAAAGTAAGAAAGATAAGTGCAGGACTTGAATTAAACATAATGAAATGGCATTACATGAATGTAAAGATATATGAATGTAAGGAATTGAAAGTGCTGTTTTGCTGTATGATTTGAACAGGGTTTGCAAGTGAAGCCTAAGTGTTCTATTTATAGAATTCTCAATGTAGGCAACAACTTGGTGTGGCAGCTTCAGCAACTTCCACGTGGAATAGTTCCGGACTGCCACATGTCCCATGATTCCTCAACGATTGTAACTTCTCCCATCTTAACCATCTTCTATTGTAGACTTCAACCACGTCCTCTCTAGTCTTCAATGAATTTGCGTCATGGGTAGTTTCAAAATGATCTCCACGTGTTCTCTTCATGACTTGGCAAGTGTCCCATGATTTTTATTCTTTTTCCTCACGTTGTCAACTCATTTCCTTAACTTCAGACACGATTTCATCAACTGCTACCCTGTTACCCATGACCCTTGATAACTTCCCTTGGTTAATGGTAGTTTCCTTATAGGTTTCCACCACTTTCAACCGATATATTCCTGTTTAGCAAAGTGTCCCATGATTTCTAGTAATCCTTCACTTCTGCTAGAACCTTCCTTACATAGCGTCATCGTTTCCAACTTCTGATAAAACTCCTCATCGTGCATAACTTCCATTTTGAGACTTTCCTTCTAAAGTTTAGAGTTCATGGGCCATGACCTCCTAGATTTTAGGAACTCCTTTATCGTAGGTTTATATCCAACCCACTTCTTTTCCTTTCATGGATCACGGTTTCCTTGATTTTAGGTTGAACCTTTCATGGCGTCATGGTCACCGAGTTTACATCGTGGGTTATGGTTATTGCTCTCTTCCTTAATTTTAGCAACTTCTCTTCAACCTTGACTTCCTCTAGAATTAGACTTCATGGCTTCACGGACTCCCTTCTCATGGTGATTCCTTCATCGTGGGTTTAAGCCTAATATATATATATATATGTATGTATATATATATAAATAAATTAAATCCCACGTTTCGCTAAACAAAAGTTGACTTAGCTGAACTGTTGTTGAAATCTCCTAAAAATAAGGAGAAGGTTGCCTCCACGTCCCCATGACTTAGTCAACTTTTATTTAATTGGTATCCTACTAAAATAGGATCTTCCAAATAAATTCAACTTTAACAAAATTAATCCATCGTGGCAAGTTTAATAAAGCTCGCCATGTGTCGATAAATTATTGGTTGGCTAACTTTAACCTTCTTATGATAATAACTCCATGCCGTTTTCTTTTCCTTTTAGGACATTATATCCTAAATTTGGTAAGTCCTAAAGGGACTCGCCACTTGTCTTTTAATTTCCATAATTTAAATATTCCAAGGTGGAATATTTATCAATATTGTAGTCTAACATGCCAAGTTCCATTGGAACTTACCACGTACCTCTTTTCTATTTAAGGAACCACATTAACAATTCCATGTCACACCCTCTTTTTCTTGAACAATTAAAACGTTAAATCAATATGGTAAGTTTTGTCAAAACTCGCCACTTGTCTCTTTTCCATTGGGTAAAAATAATGGAATAAATAGTTAAGATTTAGTTTCTAAAACTATCCACCCAATTATTTACCTATATACAAATCTCTACTACAAAAATTCTTTCCAAACATACAAAACCTACACGAGGCTTGTTACAAATGACACTACTACGCGTGTATATGAAATCTTCCTAATGGAAGGCTAGCCTGGCTAGGATGCAATAAAAACAAACGTGTGTATATATGAAATCTTCCTAATGGAAGGCTATGACACAAGTGGTTAAGATTTAGTTTCTAAAACTACCCACCCAAATATATACATATTTATACTCTTCTGAATCATCTCCAATCTACCAATTTCTATAAATTCTGCCATTTTCTAAAATCCTACTTCTCTCTGCAAGACTCCATACTTATTATTTCTAGTCTTTTATATTATTGAAATGAAAATTTATCAGTTATAGATGAATTCACACTATTCTGAAGAGCAATAAGACTGAATACAGTTAAAGACCTCAAGTGGTCCCACTCCGGGAAGAGCTCTTGAACAATCAAGAAAATAAAGTAATCTAAGAATTGTAAGATATTAAACGACCATGTAAAACTCTTAGGCAGTAAATATTAAATAAATATAAATATGGGAACAACATAATTACATATATTCATTTAGACAATACTTGAACAAGCAAACCAAACACTGTAAGATATATATATTCATTTAGAAAATACTTGAACAATTAGGAATATAGAGCAAGCTAAACTCTGTTAGAGCATTTTTCTTATTACTAGTAATATTGTAATTTTGTAATAGCAATAAAGAAGTAATTACTTGGGAACATTAAAAGCTTTTACACCGACGTCCAAATGAATCAAAATTTTCATTTGAAAACTAAATTACGAAAGCAATAAACCTCATAGTTCAGAAATGTAGGTTGTAAAGTAAGACTTGTTACCTGCAACACAAATTTAGACATGAGAGGACATGCCTCTATCAGGGGAGCAAAAATAATAAGGCTTTCATCATCACATGCACTAATTCTCAATCGTGGTAGAAGATCTTTTCTACCACAGTTTTGAAATAACCATGGTAAAAAGTGCGTGGTAAAAAACTGTTTTTCTTGCAGTGTAAGTACAAGAAACTAAGCAAACTCAATACTATTCTGAGTAAACCGAAGAAAAAGTAAATCAGCACATGTTGATAATTATGTTAAAGAAAAATAAAATAAAAATGTAGGGGTGGAGATAAAAAATGAGTTAGTTTAACTTACTAACCTCCGTGATGGAGGCCAACTACAGCGTAAGGCTCTCTAGCTGAGAAAGATAGCTTGAAATATCCAAAAAGTTATAAATTATATGTTCACAATACTCACCCGCGATATACAAATCAACAGGCGCCTAGTTAATCTTAAACGGTAAGCTTATTTTTGGTTCAAAGAACTTAAATGACATTATATGCATGATAAGTGCTGAATACTGTATATTCAGGCGCCCTAAATTACATTAACAAAGTCCATTAATTGATTATTTTATGTAGATTAACTCCATTTGCATGTTTTTGTGCATTTTCAGGTTAAAGTGCAAAAAGGAAGCAAAAATGATGCCTTGTGGAAGTACGAACAAAAAGGGTGCCAATTCTGAATTTCTGGCAGCGGTAGAACCTGACTTTTGTTGCCATTTTCGACCTAGAAAACTCAAGAACTGGACTTCCATCATAACATGAAAGATTTAGAGCTCTGAATCAGCTTTCCAAATCTTTAAGCGGTTCATCATTCGGAGTTCGGAACAGAGAGTTATGATCTTCTTAACAGAGGTGCGCAGAACTGCCTGGCAGCACTGAAGTACTGCCTTTCTCCCCATTTTCGACCAACCAGACTTGAGAATTGGGTCTTCATCAAAACATGAAGTTTTTGAAACACTGAATCAGCTCTCCAAATCTTCAAACAGATCATCATTCGGAGTTCGGGACACAAAGTTATAGCAGTTTTACCAAAGTAGGTCAGTGCTGAGCAAGAAAAGCATGTTGCACATTACACTAATTTAGAGTGCTCGAGACCCCTCTTCGAGTGCTCGAAAATCAGCCAGATTGCAGCTCGGAAATGCACCCCTCTTCAGCCCACTTGTGCATTGGTTTCCACATTTCCACCCTCCTTCTTTATGGAGTGGTTGGGAATGTCTTTGGAGGAGAGAGAGAGCTTAGTTGATAGATATAAGGCAACTAAAGGCCACATGGATCCTATCCTTGAATTTTTGCAAGATTAGAGGAGAGAGAAGAGAGCAAGAAAGGTGTTCTTGAAGCTCCAAGGAGTTTGCACGAAAATGGCCATGAAGATGGAGCTTCTTCCTTCTTCTAGCTTGGCAATGGGTAACTAATTCTTCTTCTAGGGAGGTGATGAAGTCCCTCCCTTGTAAGCATGTCCTAGGGTAGTCTATTTTGGGGGATTGCAATGTATATTTCTATGGTCTTTTTCATAACTAAGAGCCTTTCATTTGTTGTAATGAATGTTTATCTATGTATGGTTGATTTCTTCAAGTTCATTATCTTGATTGTTAGGTGATGTCTTGTATGAATCTTATTGCTTGAGTTTTCATGGTGAGAATGGGAACAAGGTTATGAAATGGTTTCATGGCATGTTGATAGG